GTTTTCTATTTTTTTAAAATCCTAAAAGGCATCAAAATCCAAAAAAAAAAAAAAAAGGGATTTAGGGATTTTTTTTTTTTCTTTTTTCGGGAGGATGTAGGGAATTTCAAACCCTCAACTCCTTTTTTTCTTTTCTTTTTGGCCTATTATTCTATTTTCTAAAAATCACGGGGTTTTTTGGCCGTGGTTGGCCCCCGCGGCTGCCCCCCTTGGGCATGACCATGACCGCATGCGGTAAAATGCCCCGCGGTCATGACCGTGGGTGATACATAGCCCCAGGAGCCAAAAAGTTGGAACGGATCTCGGACCAAAATCTCAATTTTAATTTCGTTCAAAAAATATAATATGTCCGTTTTGACGAAATGGCTGTTCTTATACCTCACTTGATGCAGTGGATCAAACTCCATAGGGGTTACCTAACGCACCCAGAAAGTGAACGTATACAGGGTTTGTTTCCCACCCAAGAAAGTGAAAATTAGGTTGCGTTGTGTTCGGGGCGTGACCGTGATGTCTTTGGGACTCCCTCTCACACACTTGAACATCATCACAAGCATGACGAAAACTAGCATGATCATTTTACGACAGCTACATAGAATCCTCTAACATGGGGGGGAAGGGGGTGTGGGGAAGGGGGGGCGGAGTCCCCTCTCCCCCACACTTAGACCTCATCACCAGCTCGAAGGTACTCGAACCGAGTCGAACGTCATCACTGGCACACAAACAACGTCATCACCAGCACAAACATCTACATCCTGTTCCCCTATTCATTGCTTCTCATTTACAAAAAAAGGCCCTAACACAAGCGACATGCCACCAACACACCTACTTCAAAGCATGATCGATCCAACAATCACACCTCTGAAGGTATGACCTCAGTTGATGGCAGCCTTGGTTAATAGCAAAGTCGAAAAACACCACAACCAAGAGAACACAACTGCCATGCCGATCCTCTACCGCTCCCTTCACTCTGCACCCACCTACAATGTTTGCAACAGCTAATCAGAAGCATGTCGTAATCTTATGAAACAAAAAAAAGGAAGAAAAAAAAAAAAAGGGACACAAATAAATAAACAAAAAATATACAGAAAATTTAATATACAAAGTTTCAATACTTTACATTCAAAGAGAGATTTTTTTATGCCCCTAATGTGGTCTGCATCCCAACACTTCTTGGCCGCTGTGCCCATTGACATGTAGCTTCTACTGAAAAAATATAATGCATAATATGCTACAGTGCCTCTCTTCTTCCTCGGGTTCACAGTGACGCCGGGCCGGTGTACGGCAATGGGAAACCAGTCAGAAAACCCGAGAGGCCCCACAATGTCGCACGCTGATCGAAAATTATGCTACTCCAAGCCATCTGACCCATGTTGCTTCTCATCACAACGATACCATGGCACCGAAATCGGCCAACAGCCTGCTCACACAGCACGAAGTCCAAATCCTTGGCCCTCCAAACCTCTTCTCGCTACCAATTCACTCGGAATCCACAGCATGTGCGCCCACGCCCCAGGCTGCACCACCAGGCTGGGCGTGGTCTAACAGTGTGAGCGTGCCCTTAGCGGAGCGGCCACGCATTTTTCACCATTTTCTATAGTCTGACATTTTCTATAGTCTGACAACTATAGGAACACCATACATACAATTTTTTATTTTATTTTTTTATGGAGGAGAGCAGCGGAGGAGGACCCCATGACCGACCACCTGCTGGCCTGAGCGTAGTGGCTTTCACTGTCGTTTTCCTGCGTGCAGGTGGACAAAAACCATTCATTTAAAAAAAAAAAAAAAAAAAAACCATTCATGTCTAATGCACATGCGTGGAGAGTTACCAACAGACGGTGCAGCTGTGGGGAGCAGAGAGAGGAGTCGACTACAGGCTACAGGCTATCGGGGTCGCTCCACTAGACAGCATAGTGAAAGTATCTGGAGTCTGGACCTGTTAGAACTTAGCGGCTCAATATTCAACATGTTCTATCAGCAGGTTCATCCTCTACTGTCCTGCTCAGATACTCTTTCGAACGTTGAGTAGCGAAGGGAGGTCCTATGCGTATCCATGGACGAGCAGACCATGGACGAGCAGACCTTGCAACAGGCTCTCTGCAGGCTTTTTTGTTTTTTTCTTTGAGGGAAAACATGGATAAGTACTGACCAACTGCTACGCTGCTCAAGCAGCAATTACTAAGTCAAAAAGGAAAGCCACAGAAGTCCTTGGAATGGTCAGAACCCCTGGAATCTGCAGCCTTGCAACCGTGGGGAGCTGGGTTGACTACAGAGGCTGCGAGACCTGCTGGCCTAGCATTCGTTTGTATACATAACCGTTTGTCTGTCCAGCAGTCTTCTTTCTTTTTCTTTCCCGAACCTCTTTTTGCCGGCGCGGAGTAGAACATCGCGGCCAACCTTTGCTGAAGAGCCCGTACCACCTTTTCTTCTTTTGTCCGCCGGCCATTTTCGTCTGGTGGCGCCTGGCCTCTGAAGAATGCCGTGTAGCTTATATTCGTGATTTAGCCTTCCCCTCCGAAAGGTAGTGGTGGTTTAGACAACCAGTACATCCCACTAGCACTAGAGGGAGTGTTTTTCAAAGGGAAAAAAAAAAAAGAGAAAAAAAAAAAAAGAAGAGGAGTTGGCGTGGCCGCCTTCCACCAAGTATCCCTGGTGAGGTTGTGACCCAGCCCATGGCTGAATGGTATACACAGTGACTCTGAAATCATCATTCGAACGAGCTTAGGTCGCTCAGGTCTTGAGTTCGAATCCTGCTCCGAATGTGATGCGTTCACTGTTGAAAAAAAAAAGAAAAAAAAAGACAAGGCGAGATTGACAAATAGAGTATGGGACAAAGCACCCACCCGGTCCGAATCTCGCCCACTCACGCTCGCTCTCGCACTCCAGGACTCGTGCCAGGAGAGACGCACAGACGGAATCGCAGTCACGGAACCGTATTCTTGTTGAAGTTGATGGCATTGATCTTCGAATTGTGTCGAGCAATTCAGACGTCGGTTTACAACCATCCACCCGAGCAGTGGGCAGACAAATTCAAAAGGCAGCGACCCTCAGGTGCAAACGAACATCCACCCGAGCAGGCTGAGCGGTACATGACGAGTGACTCGTCAAATCTATTATGGCCAGGTTTTGCAATACCCATTTCCCACCTCTCTCTCCTCCCCAACGAGCCCCTCCTTCACATCATCATCCTCCTTCGCATCCTCCTCCTCCTCCTCCCTCTCCTCCCCCTCCTCCTCCTCCTCCTCCTCCC